CACATATACATATATATGTATATAAATAAAATGAAGATGTGCTTATTGTTTCACTTATATAATGTGTACCTTGTGTGCTAACGAGGCAATTGACAAAGATGTGTTACAAATCTGTCGTGTTTGAGACATGTCTAAATCAGTCTGGGGAATGTTTTATGAATACGAAGGAATTATTGGAAATGATTCTTGAGGATTTTTACTGTGCAATCCTCAAGCAAGGCAGATTTACCAAAATATGTCATAAGAAAGATTATATTATATCTTTATTACACGTCTCACGTTATATAAAAAAATAAATCAATGTTTTTATTTCTCGTGGCGTTTTTAATTATATAGTCACGCATGTACATATTATGTTAATATTGGGAGATGAAAAAGATTTGTGTATTCTGATTGCCACGTTATAATTGAATTCGATGTAACAATCGGCGTGTAACAGGAAATTTTTCAGAATTTTTCAAGGATGAATTGAGAGAGAAATGTGTGTCAATCTTCTGTAATTATACTGAATCCTTTTGATATATATGTATATATGTTTGTACGTATGTATCAAAAAAAGAATTGCATATTAAAATTCACATATATCTACAGACTTATATAATGATACAAAATAGGAAAAATATATAGCTACATTTTCTATTAAAATAACAAAAGAAAATCTTTCTGATATATAAGATGAAACGTGTATTTGTTGACTTCTTAAATTCGTCAGTGGTAAAATACAGCATATAATACTGACAATTAAAGTAGCTCTCCTTTGCGTTTCACATATCTAATAACAATCTGATATTTTCAACACTAACAATATTGTCTATTTACATTAATTTCTATTGTGTGCACTACTGTTGTAATTAAGAATAAAATAAATATATAAGTATTTACATAACTGATTACTGATGTACAATGAATATATTTTGATGCTTTTCTGTCACTAATATCCTATTACAGTAAATCGTATCTCGTAATAGAAAAAGTAGTCTTTTCACACACAATTAGGCCCCATTAAAGTTTTGATAAAATAAATAGTACATGTGTAATATTTGTTACTTTCTCTCTGTAAAGAGTACTTTATAGATTTCATAGTATATTGTGTCTGCCTGCGCGCGCGCGCGCGCGTGTGTGTGTGTGTGTGTGTGTGTGTGTGTATGTATATATATCAAAAAGTATCAAGAAAGTAATCATTCTTATCACAAAGATTTATTACTTAAAATATCCCCAAAGTACAATAAATTATATTGATATTTTATAAACACGTTGTGGTCGTTTTATATACAATATGATAACTTAGTATTTAAAAGGAACACAATTTGTATAATTTCGCTGTACATCATTTACATTTTATTACTTTCTCCAATATTGTGCGAATTTGTGAAGTTGTTCTACCAGCACAGCCATCACGGCAGTGACCGACAAATCTAAAAGATTATGCACATAGTGCACAGCTTCTTCATCGCTCAAATCTAATCGCAATTTGTCCTGGACTTTCTTTACAGCTTTATCCGGTTCCAGGGCGATATCAGGCACGCTGGCATCTACCATCAACGAAAACAGATTCAATATCAAATTAGCGTGTCTACGTAAATGTAGAAATGCCGTGTAACATTGTTTTCGGAATTCGTGATAATGTTCAGAACCAACGCCGCCCATAGCTTCGACCATCTCTTTGCTGAGTTTCATCGGAGGAGGCAAAGGTTTCGGATCTCTACCCAAAATATAGCCAAAATCGATATGGAAAAGTTTGCCTACGAATTGGAGAAACATTTATAAAAACAGTGCGCAAATCATTTGGTATATAGTCATCTTATATAAGTTTCTTTTACAAGTTAAAACGTACCTGATGCTGTAAGAAGTAAATTATCCAAGTGGCGATCGCCGACACCCAGTACATACGTAATTATGCAATAACCAGCTGTAATTTAGAATGGTTAAATAATGTCCATTTTTTTTCTCATAGAATATTCGTTTACTTACCACAACTACGAACATAAGTATCCATGACTTCGGGTACCACTCCATAAGGTCCAGTTTCAGAGGGATGATGTTTTCGAAAAAAATTCAATATCGAACCTTCGCTAGCTAAGACCTCCGCAACCGTTGTGGATTCGATAAATTGTACAAAACCATGCTTAGTGCTTGTTGCCAGCACCCTGAATAACAATCATGTCGTTACATAACGTAGTTAAATATGTAAAACAACCTTACATAATACATTACCCTTTACATAATACAGAAAAAATATTAAATATTTAATACATAAAAAATATTTTACCTATACGGAGTTAGTTTCAAATCTAGATTTTCCCTTCTTAATAATTTATCCATAAGTGCTATTGTTTGTAAAATTAATTGATCTTGTCGTAAATCGTCTCCGTGTTTAAAGATGGCAATATATTCGGTATTATCTGTTGTTAAGAATGTAAGTTTCGATGGCATGAGCGCAGATTTGAAGAGGCTCGCCCTATACAATTAATAAAATATAATTTAGCATCGTAAACGTGTAATATAAATATTGATGAAATACAATTGAACAATTTGAATGTATACTTTTCTGGAATAATTCCCTTGATACAAATTTCAGGATCCAAAGGAAAAGGTATCGGCTCGAAATTCGAAAAATTAATTTTAAAGGTCGGATCTGGATCCGTCAATAACGCTCTCAATCTGTCAGTTTTTTTCTTCCGATTTCCGCTTTCTCGTGCGACCGCTTTTACTAAAAATACCAATTGGTCGATAAACACCTTCTGCCGTAAGAGGAACGCTCTTCTCTTTTGCCAGATGGTATTTCCTTGCGCTAACATCATGGAAAACATTTTCATTACGGTAACATACATTTCCCTAACTCGTGTATCTTGTTTAGCGCTTATCGCGGGATCAGTTTGATCCTCGCATTCAATAGAAAGATACCAATAGAAATAATTGGCCAGCATCGAGTTCTGACAAGCACGAGTAATCAGAAACGACGCTAGATCCATAAGCGGTTCTTGGCTCGCCGACAATTGACTCTCCGATTCGCTAGACTGCAAATAAAAGCAATTATATTAAAAGATGAATAACGTAATGTACGAATATTAAACATATTATCGACTTACAGTCGTAACCGGAGTAGATGTAGAATCGCTATTTTTCACCTCTTTATCTAATTTTTCGGTTCTTTCTGCTTTCTCCAATTTTTCAGTGCTCCAATTTTTTGATTCTACTCTTTCCTCCTTCTCCTTCAACATGGCTTGATGAGCAATCTTAATACTTTCAAAGTCTTCGTATTTTAACGCCTGCACCAATTGCAACAGGTACAACATTAGATCATCGTCAGGAGCTTGGTTGAGCCTACTAATTGCATATCTTCTAATAGCTGGATGAGTGAATGCAGGTCCCAGCAATTCTAAAGCGTCCTCAGAATCCGGTGGAGCCCATAAAGCTAGCATCTCCAAAGCTTGACGTTCTTCACCAGCGACTTTCCAGTTAACGCACTTTACAAACTTAGTTAATGCTTTCTTTTGACTAGATAAATAAAATCTATACTTCCAAATCAAATCCTGTTCCTCGGTAGAAAGCGCCGTGGTCGGGGGATATCCCAATATTGTGTTTAAGGCATCCCGCACGGTCGAGGTAGGTTTTAATTCGCGGGTATTACCACCACTGCGTAAACTGCGCGCCAATTTATGATGTTTTGCTTCCACAAGATTCTCCTAAAAAATATTTGATAATTTATAATATAAGCATGCAATGACCGAACATGATATAGCAGACAGCACACTAGTCTATTATGCTAGAGGCCCTGGATTCAATTCTCGGCAGAGTCAAAAATATTTATACTCGTCTTCTCTCGGAAGGTAATGCCAAACCATTGAAAGTAATCTTGCCTAGTAAAACTCTCCACTAAATATTTGCCGTTCGAAACATTAAATTGTAGGTTCCATACCCGTGTATAATCATCACTATACATATCACAGGTGAGTGAGTTAGTGAGTGAGTGAGTGAGTGAACGAGTGAGTGAACGAGTGAGTGAGCGAGTGAGTGAGCGAGTGAGTGAGTGAATGAGTGAGTGAGTGAGTGAGTGAGAGGAGTGAGGGAGGGAGGGAGAGGAGAGGAGAAGAGAGAAGAGAGAGCAAGAGAAAGAGAGAGAGGAGGGAGGAGAGAGACGGGGAGGGAGAGAGAGGAGAGAGTAGGGGAAGGGAGAAGGA